ACTGTCATGTTTTTAGAGACAGCATTAATTCACAGATTTGCAATACTTGATGCACAATTACAAAAGTCCATATGGCATCTCTCATAACCATTATGTCTGCAATCTTCTTTGGATGGTATTGTGCCTGGAAGTCTGTATGGGTTTTCTAAAAGTACAAATTGGTAAAATATTTTATGTTGTTATAAGCTAAGCGAGTATGTTCTCAAAAAAAGCAAAACTCTGTAAAGGTTCTCTGAAATGAGGTAATTTAAGTTCAGTGCAAATAGAAGGAAAAGTTATCACAGTAAGATATCAGGGTTCAGAGTATGGTGGTTTTCCCACATACATCCATCCCTTTTGCCAACACAGTGAGTGTTACTGTTTTAAAGCTCATTTTAGAGAACAAAAATTACAGTCTGACAAACCCAGCCTGGAAGGAATTGCAGATACCAGAGTAAACCCTGAAACACAAAACTTCATGTTCATCAAATGATTAGCTTTGGTATTCACAATGAAATGAAAAACAAAAATGCTTTAAAACTATTACTTCCTTTCATTTGGAGCCTAGAAGTGTAAGAGGGAATAACCTGGGAAACAAAAGCAGGCTGTATGTAAAGTGAGATGATGATGTTGAGGAAAAAATACCACTACATACAGAAGTAGGAAATAATGAAGCTACAGGGCAAGCCACAAGATGCTGCTTATTTCTAAAGCATGTAGTTCCTTCACATCACAGATGACAGAGGGTTCAGTCTCTCCTAATCAAATTCGGATCTTGTTTTATTTGGCATAAACTGCACAAAACATTGTTCAAATCAAAACCAACTGGATGTTTGCAAACAAAAGTACAGGAAGGGTATGGTGTTGCCATATTACAGCACTGTACTGTTTCTGGCTTTCAAAGGTTAAAGTCTTGCTCCAGAGAAATATTATAGCTTAAACATTTAATTGATTTCAAACAAAAATAATGTATTTTGACTGTCTGAAATTAAACATGGACTAACAAGGATACCTATATCATAATATATCATAATCAATCATTATGACTCTGGTTGATAGTATTTCAAACAGAAAACTAAATAATGCATAAATGTGAGAGCCTTTTTTGTAACATACTTATAACTTTGCTAAACACTTACCTTGTTTGTAACTGCCAGCATTCCCAGGAAGAAAAAGAACTGGAATTCCTGTCAATAGGAGATTTTTGTTTTCTTCAGCGTAGTTCCCTTCCCCATAGAGATAGAGCTCATATGCTGGGTATCGTCTGGCTGTTTTCTTGGGTAATTTTATTTTCTATTGTAAAAGTTAAAAAGAAAATACTTTGTTTACAGTGTTACAAACAAGAAAATATAGTGGCTATAGAGCCATTTAAATGATTTGGCTTATATTTTACGTATGGTTTGAAGTTACAGTCTAAAGAATACAGAATGAAAACTGAGGTTTGCTTTAAAAAAAACTAATTAAAGTATCAAGTATATTGTTCAAGTAGATATTACTGTGCAGAATGAGCGGCTGCAGCACTTAACTTTAACTAGCTTTGAAACAAACTGCACATTCATAAAGTAAACCCAGCTTATAATACAGAGGTGGAAAGGAAAAAAAAGTCATGCCAAAGCCCAACCACTTCTCCCAGGACAGTGGAGTCTGAGACCAGAAACTGGGGCTTGTGAGTGATCCTCATTACTCCTGCTCTGGAATCCTTTCCGACACAACGTAACTGAGAACAAGGATGTGCTACTGCAGCTGATAGGAAACTAAATCTGGAGAACAGGCTTATGGAGGTGACTGTCAGATGACACCTGTTATGTCAGGGTAAATTATGGATACTGTGTGAATTCTCTTAGGTGATTTTTACAGAGATGTCATCTGCAATGGGAGTTTAAACAATAGTAGCAACCACCTCAATATGGCTCATCAGAAAAAAACAACCCACATTTCAGTGCTTTTCCTGTTTGCTTCATTTTCGGAGTTGGTTTTGTGGCCTAGTGACAAACCACCTGGTTTTATAACAACTCAGGGTCCAATTTACATGTCAGTTGTCATCATAAAAAGGGCCATGTTTCTTGTATTAACACCAAGAAGAATACAGCTAACCCCCTAACCTATCACTTAACTTATTCACAGGATTATGATTCCCAAAGAGAAAAGAACAAAATCTCTTTAAACCTGAGGGCTGGGTCAGGATTAATCTTAGACCATTAAGTCACGACTCTTAAGAGTCATGTGACACTGTTTTAAACCAAACACGTAGTAAACAACAAGACATTTAATTAAATCCTGCTTGGAGGAGGTTGGTTGGTTTATAACTCTTGAATTTCTAAGATACAGATTTTTAAAATTTTGATAAATGCAAATACTCGTTCCAACATTTGATTAATTATGTTACACCCACTGAGAGACAAATAAGACAACAAAAAATAAATGCATTAAGGTGTAATTTATAATTTAAGGAAAAACTTTTGCAGAATAAGGTCAGATCTGAACTCAGTTTTACATCAGAAATCTTTTCTAAAGTCTTTCTTAATTGTTTTCACGAAATAGAAACATCTCTATTTCAAATACTTCATTATTTCTCTCAGCTGCATCTACAACAAAGGTGATTTAGCTTTAATTTCCTGCTCGCACACGCCTTCCCTTCCCCTTTTCTTCTGTCTCTCCTCAGCTAAAGACTGTTTTCCTTCTCCCTTAGCCTTCAAATTATTTGACATTTTGGATATTTGCAACCTTTCCTTAGGATGTTTGAAATATTTATATTTAAAATTTATATTCTCTATGTATTATTTATAATAATTTATTTATATTAATGAAGTAGAAAGAGTGTGCTTCATTCTTTCACTGTGAACAAAAAAGGTTAAGCTTTATTCAGGGTTTATGTCTTCAGATCATCCTTTCAATGGCCTTTTTTCCTTTTCTTCATCATCTTGCCTTTCCAACTTCACTGACCTCATTGCCCCATTGTCATTCCTTTGTGCTGCTCCTTTTTCAAAGACTTTCAAAATGATGCAAAAAAAACTTCATCAGTTTCCATTACTGAACTGAGAGTGCCATCAAGATATGCTTATATGACTTCCTGCCAGATCAAACCAACTGCTCTTCCACAATATCCTCCTGGTTCATTGTCTTTTCAAAAACTTTTACGTAACATAAAATTCACAAGTTGTCTTCTCTAGGTCAATGTTGAAAGCAATAACCCACACACCCCATGAGAACTGTACTACCAAAATATAGGGGGGGGGGGGGTGTTGGTAAATTACAGTGCTCAAATATTATAAACAAAATGGCAATGCTTAACTCCAAAGGAAAACAGACCTTCATGTTTCATGACAGTGGATTTAAATTCTGAATTCCCAAGACATGGTTTATGTAATCGGTAGTAGCGAGCTACAGTAACTTTTTACAATGTCAATGCAGGCTTCATTTTTTCACCCTGGTTTCCAAAGAAATTAGGTTTACGTGAAAAAGTCCTCATTACTAACTTCTGAAGCTCTTACCAAGTATAGCTGTACAGGACAAGCACACATTAGATTCAAGTACTGCAGTCCTACAACTCATACAAAAAAAGATCGTTCAGTACAAAAAAGAAAATCTAAAGTGATTCCATTACTTAGCATTAGGCTGACTGTGAGCTAACCCACACTGACAGACACAAAAGAAATGAGACTTCTTAAGTGTTCAAGTAGCTCTTCGTTTTGTAATGTGATACCAATCCGGAAGCAAGGACAGGTACCTCCTACCTGAAACTCCTACCCTGTGATTTCCTACCAAAGCCAGCACTATAAAGACATGAAAAATCAAACACACAACCGCTCCAACAGTAAAGAGGTGCTTGAAAAGTATAATGCCTTAGCAAACCCAAAACAGTTCACAATTTCTCCCCCAGCCCAAGGTACTGTTTTCTACACAGTGAAAGTGATTACTCAGGAAAGAGAAATTCTGGGCGACAACACAGCCAGTGGTGACTTGCATCACCTGCACGGAGCTCCTGCTTACCTTTAAGCCTTGCATTCCTTACCAGCACAACAGCTGCCTAAAGATGCTTTGTTTAAGCCCTGACATAATGAGTAAATACAAAAGACATGTGGTGGCTGACAAGAATTTCAGACAACTGCCAATAACATGACACAGATTTTGCTAGTAACTTTCTGTTGGCTGGCTTCGGATTGAAGCTGAAGTAGGTTTTGGCTGCTAGGAGATCTGAAAACTCGTCGCGCAATATTTAAGTATTCATAACTGCTTAAACAAATTTGTCCTACAGCATTGACAAAACAACCCTTGTAGCTATACCAAGTTTCTCTTTTGTAGGCTAACGTGACTATGCCGAGGTTAGCAAATGAAGGTTAATAGATCCAAAAATTAACTTCCTGCTTCATTAACAACTTAGGCACTAAAGTTTTGCTTTTAGATCTTCTTTACTATGTAAGCCAGCTTGCAACTTACTTCAGATCAGAGTATTATTTAGAATACTCCGTATTTTTTCCAACATAGATAATATTAAATGAATGTTTAGAAGTCAACAAATTATGCTTTTAAATAAGACAGAAAATGCTGTAGTAAGAACTACCTTTAGAAAGAGAAACTGTTTTCTAACAACTGCATGCAGCATTAGCAGCAAACCTACAAATAAATATTTACATCCTCCCACTGTTAAGTCAGAATACCATGTCTGGAAAACAGACATGTTCCAGCAGCAGTTCCCTCTCTCAAACTGGTCCCAGGTTTTCAAACAGACTTCTACAAGTCTCTGTTAGCAAAACAAGAGGGACCTCAGAGAGATTTACAACTTCTCCCATACACGGCAGGACATGCCACCTCTGAAGTGCTCACAGAGAGGATTTTGCTCTACTGTTCACTACCTTGAGAAATACACATATTCAAACCTCCGTTTTTGCGCTTTTTTGACACATTAATTGCTTCACACCACGAATTGACGAAGAGGGCCAGGAAGCGCAAGGCTCGGCCTCCTGGGCACTGTCAGTGTTGTGAGTGCTGTCAGAGGAGCTGGCCCAGCCTCTTCCTTTGCCAGCGCTTGGATGAGCTTCTGACGGGTTTTACCGCGGCTACAGGTAACTACAGGCATTTGCAGGTTAGAACGCGGGAAGGTTTTGTACTAGTACGAAACCCCGCTGGTTACAGGTGGGCAGCTCTTCCCACCGGCAGCTCTTCCCACCCGAGGGGCACCGCCACACGACGCGGGCACAGTAGCGCCTGCTGCCAGCGCATGGACCCCTCACCTGCCCGCACTGCCCGCACTCCATTTAGCGCTCGCCGCCCCGCAGGGGCCGCCTCGGCTCGCCAGCGAAGCGCCGAGCTGGGGCAGTTCTCCCTTCCCGCGGGGAGCGCGGCAGGGCTGTGCCTCAGGCTCCGGCTCCTCCCGGCTCCGGCCACGGTGGGGCGGACGGCGACGCCCCGGGCGCGGCGGGTCCCACCTGTTACGCGCCGCCGCACTCACCAGGTACTCGGGGTACTCGTACATGTAGGTCATGCTGCACCGGTTCTCCTCGTAGAGGAACAGCACGTCCCGCACCCCCAGCAGCACCAGCGCCGCCAGCGCCCCGTAGAAAAGCGCTGCCAGCGCGGGCAGCCGGCGGCCAGCCCGCCCCATGGCGCCCCGCGGAGCGGAGCGCTGCTCTCCGCGGGCTGCCCGCGCACAGGCACGGCGGGGCGGGGCGGGGCGGGAGCGCCATCGCCCGGAGGCGGAGCGGGCGGGCGGGGTCCCCACAACCTGGCCGGCGCCGGGGGCGGCCGCCATGTTGGGGAGGTCGGACGAGCGCTGGGCTGAGGGGCCCGCCCGCCATGTCGCGGCTCGCGGGGGAGGTGTGTCCGCCATGATGGGGAGGGCCGGTCAGCGCTGCGGCGGCGCCGCTTCGCCGCGGCCGGCCGGGCTGGGGCTCTGGGGGGAGTCCTGCTCTCGTCCCCCTCAGCTCACCTGGCCGAAAGTAAACCCGCATACCCCCGGGCAGGTGCTCCTACGGACCCTACCCTGGTGAGAGTACGGAGCACCCCAGTTCAGTGATAAACGTCCATAAAGCCTCCGGCACTCACGACGTAAAAGGCGGGGTTGATGGTGGTTACTGGTGTTGGTTTTCTTTTTCTTTCTTTTTTTTTTTTTTTCGGGGGGGGGCGGGGGGGTGTTTGCTTTAATTTAGGTACATTTAACACCTTCGTATCTATCTTTAACTAGCTTTAGGCACTCTGCTGCATTTTATTCCCTGTGGAACTGCTGCCCCAGCCCGCTGCAGGGCACACCCAGGACTGCTGGTATTGCTCACCAGGAAAACACAATAGTAAGGCACTTACTAACTGACCCCCCCCAAAAAAAAAAAAGTTATTGCTCCTCCCCCCCAGTCTACAGAGGAAGCAATACAAAAATCAGCTTCCTAAGGCGTGGAGTATTTACATACCAGGGAAAAGTACAAAGTGCCTACATATATAGTTGCACTTTCATCTTCACTGCTAAATATTAAGCCTCCCTCTTCACCTCCCCCGTTAAAAGAAAGAAAATTTACTCAGTTTTCCAACAGTATTTGTACCATTTTTATTTGTAAAAATAACCATCTGAATGCATTGCAAGAGTAGTTTACAGTTAGGGTTCTTTATTACATTAATACAGCATTCAGTAGTTGAAAAAGTTATTAAACTGTGCTTGAGAAGATTCAGGTTGAATCCCAAGTCATTCACCGAATTAACTTTTTTCCTCATTTCATATGTGACATTTACCCAAGTCCTTAAACTTCAATTTACAAAAGCAAACAATACCGACAAAACCCCACTGAAACCATCAAACAATATTTTATATTGTTTATTACAAATGTTATGCAAAATATAACACTGGCACCAGATGCGTATCACCATGGTTTGTAAAGATATATTGCACATGCTAAAGCATAAAATATAAGACAAAACCTACAAAACATAAGATATTGGCTTTAATATGTAGATCACTGCATAAGAAACGCATAAAATTACATTTTATACACACACTCAGATTGTCACCAGTTTAAAACGCCCTTTCCTATAACACTGACCTAAGGTTTAATTTTTGTGTAATAAGAAAGCATTTTCAGCACTGCAAAAATTATACATTATTCCTATAGAAATTTAGCATATTAATTTTCATTTCAATGCAGGTAGAACATATGAAAAGAAGAAACACTTTATACATTCAAAGAAGGTCTGAAATGAAAATTTACTGGTAATATATTGCTTTTGTAACACTCAAATGAAAAAAAAAAGACAAGTTTCACAAAACATTTCCATTATACACAAATATAAAAAGGCACTCTAATATTTCTTACATGACTAAGAATAAAAATCACAATTTTTTTTTAAATCATTCTCAAGATACATAACCAAGTTTCTCAACAGTACAATGGATAAACAATTCATTTCATGTGTTTGTTCTAATTCAATAACCTGGCAGTTGTTTACTGCATAAAAGTACCAAACACATTATGGTGCCCTTTTAATAGCGATGAACAGAAATCCCCTGAGCTATTTCACAGCAATTTCAGGCAGTCCGGAGGTTGTAACTCAGTATTTATGAGAGAGACTTGGGACCCCATCCTGCTATGGATTCCACCTGCAGCTGTGGTTAAAATACAGGATGAAACAATCCTGCTAATACACCTGGGCAGGCAGCTGCCCCTCCCCAAATACCCTTTGCTTGGTGCAGACACAAAAGTTGTCCATGTACTATAAATTGCAGGATCCAGGGTTAAGTGCAACAATTATGTATGATTACTCTTGTAAAAAAAGTCCACAGAAAGGCAAGGAGATTATTTACAAGAGTAAAATTACTCCCATGCTTAAATACCTGCCCTAAATTACACATATGTTCCTACATGTGATAAATTACAGATTAATGTACTAGCATACATAAAAAAAAAAAAGGGATTCCGGTGGCTCACGTGAGACGTGGGACAGGCCAACGCTGAGAACTTCCAAGTGTCTCGCTCGTGGCAGATTTCCTCCTCAATACAGCACACTCTAAACACATTTGCAATGCCCTTAAGGGGCGAACACAGCCTATGTTCCAATGACTTTTGGAATAGTTCATACTGACAGCACTGTTAGTTCATAGAAGTGTTTAATGGTAAAGGTTAGATTTGGTTCCTAGAAGGATCAGCATAATTCACCTCTGCTTCTGGGATGCTGTGTCCATCACTAAGAGGCAGGAGCTGTTGTACTACACAATTACCAGAGTTATGAGGTATTGCAAAGAGAAGTAATTTCCCTAACTCTGTCTGGTAGCAAGTAAAAATACTGAAACTTTTAAAATGGCTGCTTAAAATAATGTAACAACTCTTTGTAAAGAGTGCTGGTTTCCTCCTAATGAAGTAATTTCATGTACAATGGGATAACTTTCCGTATTTCAGGGTAAGACATGGCTAATCTTGCCAAGGAGCCTCCCTACATTTCTGCTTAAAATAAGAATCCTGCTGTTAGACAAGTGGCAACTATTTCCCATTTGTTTGTTTTCAATGCCGTCATTCCACATAAAGAATCCAAAATTTGGGACTCCTATTTATTTTGGAACAAACATCACTGAAAACTTTAATGATTGATCTCTCCTCTTATTTTCAGTGCTTAAAGTAAGGTGGTTATTGCTATTCTGCAACTTTAAAAAGGAAAACTGTTGAGAAAAATCAATCATTAAAACGTTATTTTGTGCTATTTCTGAGGAGAAAACCAGGGTTTCAGGTGATCTGTCATTCTACTGCAGAAACTAGAGTTGAAAGAGACACTATCCCTTGTGATTTTTTTTGTTGTAAACTTTGGAAAATTGTTAACGTTCAAGGAAAAATATTTAATTTTCACAAGACAAAATAAAATTAATGTATAAATTTTCTTTCCTAATTAAGGAACTGAAATCTGCCAATAGATTTTCAACAATTAAGCGGAACATGGCTAAAAATATCGCAACCAAAATATAAGTCCTTCCTTTTCATTTCCACTGCCAAAAGCAAGCACCAAGGAAGCTCATCTCACTTTCCCAGCACAGACTGGGCCTGCAGACAACCTGAGCGTGAATCACAGGAATGTTAACACCTTGGCTCCATGCTGTGCTACCTTTTCCCCTCTACTGCAGCTCTACGGTGTTTTCTCACCTCTCTGGCAAGGGGCTGGATCCCTTTCTTACACTCTTTAAACAGGGGAAGATGTTTTGCTTTCTGCTTTTTACCAACAAAGCCTGTGGACCCAACCTTTGCATTCCACACAAGAAGATGGACACTCTCCCAAAGTGCATCCACTCTTCCTTTTGCTACTCAGGCCATCACTCTTGCCTAGATTCACATTTTGTTTCACACCGTCCCAAACAGTATGCATAAATGCCAACTAGGAGAACAAGCCATAGTTATTTTTCCTGGGCATTTGTTTCATTTCAAATAAATAGAAAAACATTTACATTAAAAGTATATGAACATATTTTTTAGTCTGGAAAAAAACCCCACCTGTGGTCAACACATCAGTTAAAAATGTCAACTTGAAACCTGCATCATAAAATGTAAAATTCACTCAAGACTACTAATTACCTCAAAAGTTTATATTTTTATGGTTTAGGAAAAAATACTTCATTATGTCACTCACATTTGAAGAAAAAAATAAAAGTAGCAAAGTCTTCAATTTAATTACTGAAGCATTTTGGTCCTCTTGGTACAGCTGGTTAGTTCAGGATAACTTTTTGTTTGGGTTTTTTGTTTTTGTTTACAAAGTCTCATTCTTCCTTTTGTACATCTGTTGCAGAGGAGGGTTGTGGTCCATTTGACCTAGAAACTTTGGCAGAAGGAGTAAACATATTCACAAAGTTGACATTGCTTTAAAAGCTGGTGACAATAGGCTTTTTAACATGTTATCTCTGATCCCCTGCACAGTACACTACACTGCTATGTTTTCTGGTGTTTGGTATTTCAACTTTTGGTGTTACGCTTTCATTGCTTTACCTTTGCTCTGTTAATCCAAACACTGGCAAAAGTATTTTAAGAGTTGATGCTGTTTACAGTAAAAATAAGTTATTTAACCATAGAAAAGGAACAAAAAATCCATTTAAGTTGGCAAGTCATTA